TACAATCTGTTTAACATTTACTTGGAAATAGGGTTGCAAACTGTCATCATACATGCTCTATTAAATCCTTTATTTGGCCTTCAGACAGCCTTGACAGTATTTGAAAATGCTAGTAAGGTTTATATTAGGATTATTCTAGGTTTTCAAAACATTCAACATAAATGAAACCTCTTCCTGCAGTTATTTTTCAGCGTATTCTGAGAGAAGCATTTTTGATAATAATTATTATTATAAAAGCTTTATTCTGCTTACGAGAAGTTTAGAAATACAGATAATGAATGCAAGAAAAGAGTGAATACCACGTCATTTTGATAATTGGATATATGAACTACACTCGCCATTTCAAGAATCTTGCTGAATTGCTGGATTTGTCATTCAAATTTATGAGAAATACAAAAGATTATTATTCATGTTGGTAGTTCCAGAATCTGAATTGAATATTTTTTAAAGTTTAGGATAGTTAGTTAGGTCAGTTGGCAATATTAGCTCAATCCTTTAGTATAAAAAAACAATTTATGTAAAGTAATAACAAGAAACATATTAACTTTTATTTAAATACTTATACATTAAAGAACTAATTTGAGAGTTTCACTAAAAGTTTACGAAAATAATGTTTCCGGTTTCAGTAAAGGCAATTTTTTTCAGTCACCAAGACGTAGTAATTATACTGGCTGAGTTAGAGTACTGACTTAAACCAATTGGCGAAATATGCCAAATTCGTGTAAACTCCGGGTAAGCGGGGCCTACCACAGTCCACTCCCCAGGACACAATGCCAGTTTGCACCATTCCATATCCTGGAAGCTCACAAATCAAAGGACCTCCACTGTCTCCTTGGCAGGCATCTATTCCACCAGCCTCGTAGCCAGCGCAAAAGCTAGCTGGTGTCAGGTTTGCTAGCCATGTGCGGCAAATCTGATAGTCGATGATGGGAACCATAGCCTCCCGAAGAATTTCATCTGATCCTGTATTCTGGGTTTTTCCCCAACCAGCTACATAGCACCGTGTTCCCGGCCTGAGTAGGCTGATCATGGAGGGATCAGTAGCAAGTACAGACTTTTTCAAACCGCTAGTACCTCCCAGATCCAGCTGTCTCTCGAGTTGAAGAAGGGCGAGGTCGTTTATGTAGTTCTGTGCATCATAATTTGGGTATATATAAACACCAACCACGCGAATACGCTGAACACCTGGTCCACCTGTATCCTAAATAAAAATAAGCGAGAAACAAGGCAAAGTGGATACTGTCATGGTTATTGGGTAGGTTTTCATGATTACCAGTAAATCATATATGTGAGTTGTGTAGGACTAGTAACTGAATTTTCCCACACTGATATGAGTAGAGCTGACGTTTTCATTGAATTTCACATGGCCTTGCATTTCCAGAAGGTGTTTTCATCCAGGATGGACTGCAGTTTCGACCTCGCATGGGTCTTATCAACACTCTCCGCAGGAGTCGAACCATGACAGTGCAGCATGTAATCTCGACAGGTAACCCACTAAGCTACATCGCCACAAATGCACCCAGATCATAGCGCAGATGTGAAATGCAAGTAAGGCCAGACATTTTTCATATCACATTCCGTTGCGATTGTAGATAAAACAAATATTTATTTTATATAGCAATCGATGGCATTACATTTGTTGAGCATACTTCCGTTTCGAGGGAAAGTGTTTGGTGAAGAGATTCGAAGGTCGATTCCACCGGAAAACGACGGCGGATTCCTCTTGACCAACTGCCGATTGGCTTTACCTGAACATTCATGGTGACGCTGTTTCTGAGGTAATCTTCTTCGATTCCAGCGATAGGATGCTAACCTTTTGTCCGCCATATGACAAGCATTATCAGAGCAAATTTAAGCTAAAGAGTCCATAAAACTTACCGGCAAATACATTTAAAAAAACTGTATATATACCCTATATTTTGCCTCTTGATCAGGTATAAAGTGATTTGACGAGTTTTCTTGACTCGTTAGCTTGAATTTGCTCCGATGATGTTCGTCATATGACGGACGAAAGCCTAGCACCTTTTCGGTAGAATCAAAGAAGATTACCTCGGAAACAGCGTCAGCGTGAATGTTTCAGTAAAGCCAATCGACCACCAATCTGGTGGAATCGACCTGTAAATCTCTTCACCAAATGCTTTCATTAAAAATGGAAGTAATATCAACAATTATTAAATAAGAGATTTATCGGAACACAACTTTTCTTGACATTACTTTTTTCGTTATTGAGTAGGTTTTCGGGACTATCAAGAAATCAAATATATGAGTTGTGTTCGGATCTATTCATATTATTGTTGGTAAATTCAACTATTTTCATCGACTCAAACGAACTATGCTATCATGATAAGGGTTACATGATACCCGGTTTGTCTCATTCGTCATAAAAAAACTTTTATAAGGGCCAGAAATGAAGCATTCAGGATTTAATCTTTACGCAAAATCACTATTTTCTGAAAAAATGAGCAAGCTCATAAAAATGCCAATATTCCCGAATTCTGAAGGAAGTAACAGCATAACCTGTCAAAAATCGCAATTTCCTTTGATTTTTTTATTTATTATTATTTGTGTACGCAATAGAGTCATATTTCTTAATCAGTAACTGTTCATATGCTGCCAAGAAATGTAATAATATTTCGTATTGTTGGGGCGACTTAGGAGGAAGCACTTCGTCCAAAGGCTTCTGTTATAGTAATCGTCATGATTCATAGTTTCGGAACGTGGAGTTGATACATTCCATGACGTTTTGCTGGCATCAGCAGTAAGTCTTGCCATTCTCAACGTCAAGCTACAGCTCGTCAAAGAGACAAATGAAGTCCCTTGCTTGGCCAACTTTCTGCCGTAACGTATGTGCTATCGTTCGTTTTTCTGTCCTGGCCTATCTATCTACTTCATACCCTCTTATCTCATTCCCGCCTTATCATAACTTCCAACTCGTTTACATTCTACTCCTCAAAAGGTATGCCATTTCTGCTGAATTTATTGTAGCATCATCACACCAGCTGTTTACCTTGCCCTCTTCTCTCTCAATTTGTTGATCAGACTTAAGTCTTCCATCCGTAGTCATGGGCCCGTAGATCCGTTTCTAATCTTTCTGGTAGACTGATTTCACTCGGATTCTCTCCAAGTGCACGTTTTACTCCTAACGCCATTTATCAAGCCTTCAGTAGCATGCACACTGTTGTACACTGTTGAAGAGAGTGCCTAAGTTCTGCTCCAAATGATTAGAGATATCAACCATTGTCTCATCTGCCCATCTCTCTGATTCGACCCATAAACCCTGAGACAACTGTGTGCTCCAATTTTTTCAGCCAATTTGATCATAATGCCGATTATTTGTGAGGGTAATGATTACCCGTCTCCATAGTCCAATGACCACCAAATTTATTCGATCAGTAGAAACGACTTCTCTTGATTTCCGAAGGTTCCCTATTCGTTCATTGCCTGCAATCGCTAGTCGTCTAATTATCGATAGGTCCATGATACAGTAATCTCCTTCCTATTGGTCTTGCCCTACCCTTGTTTCCTCCTAGATCGCTGAAGCAATAGGCAAAGTTATCGCTTTCACCAAGGATGCCATTGACCTCAGCAATTTTTTGTTTTGTTGTGTTTTCACCGTTTGTGGCCCTTCTTTTTGTTGCTATACAATTGATCTCGTTTATAGTCTGTGAAATATGCTCCACTATTTCAGTACCTATTTAACGGCAGGGCATTTGATGTTTCTTCATGTGCATGCTGATTTATCTCTCTCTTTCACCAATATTCTGACTTTACAGACGTCCCATGCTATGTAGTAAACTTACGAGAAATCTGATTTATCTACCCTCTCATAGTACGTGGATAAGCGTGTAAAGAATGTTGTTTTCTCCTTCGTAATCACGAATATATTCAATTTTTCATATAAATTGCGGTAGTTTTTGAGTTTGTTTGCACGAAGATAGGCATATCCTATTTCTTACTCCATCCTCACTGTTTTTTTATACTTCTCGTTTTGCCATCTGATTTTCACAGCCCATTTATTTCTTTATATTATTTTTCTCGGGCACCCGTTGCCGAGAATGATCTGAACCAATATATCCAATTCTTCATCCAAGAATTCCACATCTGTTAACTGTAGGCTTCGGATTATCATACTTCTCCTGATTTCAGTCTTGTTGCCTGTAGTTGTGATGAAACTGGAAATTGAGTATCATTCCGGCATATGACTTCTTTCTGGGCAATCTTCTCTTAAGCGTCCTACTAGAGCTAATTACTCCAACATCCAAGAAAGATAACCGAATCTCTTCCTCTATTCCATTCTGAATTTAATTTTTTCATCAAATCTGGCTTATAAATTTCAGCAAATCTTTCGCTTATTTGCTTGCCTGCGATCAAAGCGTGAGGTAGTCATCTAGCTATCGTTTCAGCACATTTGATTGTCGAGGAGGTTTCTTGAAGTTCTCTTTTTTCATATATATATTTGCCAATAGTGGTGAGAACGATGATCCTATAGGAAGTTCAAATGTCTCTTCATGGATGTTGTCGTGGAATGTGAAATAGGCCTTATTATCAAATGTATTTGTCATGTTTACGCCTTCCTTCTGATCCTCTATGCTTTCGGGATATCCTACTCTCGGAACAAGATTTCTAGCAAGGCCATTAACAGTTTTTCTTTATAGATGTTTCTCTATATAGATTTTACATGAAAATGTAACAATAATTCTGTTTATCCAAGTTTCATGTTTTGATCCTTTAAGCAAATTCATATGAATGTAATTTTAAACATGTCGTTCACCTTCTTGAATTTCGGGCACATGAAGTTTGCTGATTTGTGTAATATGCCATAGTCGTTGTTGGCTATTGGCCTTAATGTTTCACATTCTCTATGTAACTTTGCTACTCCATAGGATGTTACTGATCAAGCATCCTTTTTTTATTACTGAATTTATCATACATATATCACCTTCGCCGTTTCTATGCATATATCATTCAGTATGTCACGTAATGTTTCATTGAGCTTCATAGTTTGATCCTGCTGCGTACTATATATTCCATCTTCTCAGTGTATATGACTTTCTCTCCATTATCCCTCTCACTTCTTCTTTATCTACCTAAAGGACTAATTTTTTACGTCTTTGTAGAGTCCTGCATATCCTTGCAAATCTGTTCCTGTTTCTATGGCAACCGATGTGGGGCTTTTATCTAAATTATTTTCATCTCTATTTTCCATTTTACCTCTTTAGGAAACTTGACGGAGACATTAATTACCTCCACCAGGGCGTCTTCTCAAACTTTTCTGTCATTTCTTAGAGATTGTAGTGGTTTCGGGATCAAGAATTACTGAAAATAATCTCACCCCTTATCCCGATCGTAGTTCTGATCACTAAGCGTTGTCAGATCGGAAACAACTTCAACTGAGTGGGTTAGTTTTAATTTATGAGGTTTTATAATCCCATACCTAAGCAACATTTTTTTATGTCTCTTTGTGATTAAGTCAGAGCTCCTATGTGATTTCTAGTCGGTCATAATATTTAGTTTTTGAAATAAGAGGCACACCTTTTGGAGGGTGGAATATAAACAAATTCAAAGTTTTGATAAGACGGAAGTGAGATAAAAGAGTATGGAATAGATAGAAGATTCTGGACGGAAAGAGGAGTAATAGCACAACCATTTAGACGAAAGGTTTGGTCACTTATCTATTTGATGAGTTGTAACTTGGTGCTGAGAATGACAAGTCTCACGGACGATGCCGACAACGATGCGGGTGAAACCCGTGGGAAAGCACCAAGTCCACGGTCCGACTCAGGAAATTATGATAGCTACTAGAACAGAAAACTTGGAGCAAAGTAGGTCCGACCAACTCAACTGGCAATCGGAGCAATTTGCGAAAATCAGGTCAAATTATTTATATAAATCGAAATGCGACTCCGATCAAAATAGAATCCACATCTTGACCTTTAAATCTGAAAAAAATGATATATTCACGGAAAATTAATGGTATATACCAGACAAAGCGCGATTATCATCTTTTTTTACATTAATCGATAGTATGCTACAGGTAAATAATACTGGTCGCAGATTTGTGACCTATAAACATTTTTATGTGCTAGTTAGGTAATTAACAAAATTAGGTATAATAAAATAATAATAATAAGAAGTTGACACGTACTAGCTAGGACAGTCATGTTGTTTGCACCAAGTATAATGATTTATTTGTCGTTCATAAGCAGGGTTTCGAAATATATGCATCTCATATATATCTATATACATATGGCTGTTAGTAGCGAAAAAATATTACCAAATAATAAAAATTTAGAAGTTGATTGACCTTGCTCTTGCAACATAGCCATATTGGTAGAAAGACTTAAAGTAACGCAGCTAGTTCGGAGTCCATTGTATGCATAGTCGGATCGTTGATATGATATATTAAATTAAATTAAAATTTTACTTCACCTTTTAGGATTTGGGTTTTTCTTGGCTCGCCTTTGAAATATGACTCATATCACTTCCAAGAAGATTCAATATCCTGTGTGTTATTTTCTAAACCTCAGCAATGGTTGTCGAGTCAGATTAATGGCTATAGCATTGGTTT